ATTAGTCAAAACTACGAAATAGTCAAGCCAACGAAGATGGCTAAATACACAAATAGACCAATCTTTTCTTCGTCGGTTGCAGTAGTTCATATGATCAAACTGGCTTAAAAAGTTCAACTGGACAAAATGCATAACTAGGTTAAATACTTGAAGTGGTAAAATAGTCAAACTATTGCAAACAGTAAAACTGCACAAGTAGTATAGGACGCTACCATACCGGGTAACCAATCACAGAGCCGGATATCACACACGTGACCACTAAGGACAATAGACTTCACACCCAAGAACAATAGAACAATAGGTTGTCGGCAAATTTACAAAGTAGAACAATGGAACAATAGATCTAATGGTGATGTCAGTCCCAAGGGACTGACATCACCATTAGTAATATATTCATGACGTCATTAATGTATTGACGTGTTCCTGCATAACATCATTAGATGACGTTATATGCAAATATGTGGTGGATTATACATATGTGTCTAGGAGGGATTTTGTCATACATGTTGGAGTCTTTTAGGCAAAGCGCATGCGATTTAAAACGTCTAATTCGTCAAACACCGCACATTTTTCAATTGAAGGAAAAGTTTTTAAGTCGTGAGAGAATTTTTTAACTATAAAGCGGAATCAAAAATTTTAAAGCGCAGTAAAAAAAACTTGTAATCCATAGGAGAGTTTTTTCTATTTAAGCGCATGAACAATGACAACTCACACAAAAAAATAAACTTTCAACATGTTTATTACAAAAAGTTTATTATTGCCAGAAAAAAAAATTTTTATTGTTACAAGAAGTTAATTGCAAAAAGCAAGGGCGAAAGAAAAGACCTAAGCGAAAGTTACAAAAAGCAAGGAAAAATGCAAATGCGAAAGAAAAAAACCTAAGCGAAATTTACAGCAAGCAAGGAAAAAGGCAAGGGGGAAAGAAAAACCTTAGAAAAATTTACAAAGAGCAACGACGAAAAAAAAACCTAAGCAATGGCCAGTAAATTTTCTAAGACAAATCGAAACCTTTGAATGGCTTCATGTTTGTTCTGGGCCAAGAATCTCGAGACTCTACGATTCTCATCTCGATGAATCGTGACCAGATACAAGCTACTATCAGCTCGTACCAACATAACGTTCTCCGGCATTCTTTCCTGGATAAATTGAAGGAAGAAAGCGTCTCTTTCGGTGGGGATTCTTTCATTCCACGCGTAGTGGAGATAGGCATTGTGGTGATGGGCTGCCACCCAATTGAATTGCCTCCTTTCTGGTGGCGGGACTCTTTCAGGCCTGTTGGCTAAGGCTTCCAAGACTGTCATCGGAGGTTCTGCTCTACAAAATGGACATGAAGGCCGTAGGTGTCTTTGCTGCTGCGACTGGTACCAGTCCATCAAACAGGAGGTGTGAATCACCTGCTTGCAGCAGGGCGTTTCTTCATCACAAGCAATTACACAAATCGTGCAGGCTCGATCTTTGGTTCCTGAAAGAAATAAAGTGAGACTTAGGTCTTTTCATACTTCACTAATTGACAATTATGAAAACGGAAAAATATTCGAGTATGACATGAACTTACCGTGAGGTGCTCTCACTCCAATCATTTTGCAAAAAAAAAATTTATATATCAGTATTTCCAAAGAATCAGCGAAGGGCGTTATAACATCAACGAAATGTGATTAAATTCTTCGTCCACGAAACGTTCTTTTACGTTCGGTCAAAATCCCAAAGGGCCTTTTTCTTGAGCTTTTGTGAATATCACACTGTGTGTGTGGGCAAGCGTCTGTTTGGTCCCAAAGGCCTTTTTCTTGAGCGTTTTGTAAATATCACACGGTGTGGATGGGTGAATCTGTATGTGTGTAAGCGTCTGTTTGGTCCCGAAGGGTCTTTTCTGCTTGAGCGTCAGTCACGTTCGGGCTCTTTGCCTGATCAAAGGTCCATGCTATTAAAAGGTAAGTGTCTTTGAATACACTTTACAATGAAGGAAAGAACAACGCTGCTTAATCAATACAGCCTCTTTTGCTCAATTGAAGAAAAGGTCAATGCTATTGAAAGGTAGGTTTCTTTAAATACACTTTACAATGAAGGAACGAACAACTGTGCTTAATCGATACAGCCTCTTTCGCTCAACTAAAGAAAGAGTCCTTGCTATTCAAAGGTAAGTTAATTAAGAAACGAACAGCGCATTACAGTATACAAACTAAGAAACATTTGAAATTGTAATCACAAAACTTGTTTTTTGGTGCTTTTTTACTTACTTTGAAATGATACTCATACTATAAGATACTTGCCATCTGAAAATTCACTAGCACCATTCAGTATCACAATTCTTTTCTTCAACATAGCAACAAGTCGTAATGGAGGAAGGAACGAACAACTCTTTGTTTAATCAATACAACCTCTTTTACTAAATTAAAGAAAGAGTCCATGCTATTCAAAGGTAACAATGTTGCCTCTTTTATTCAATTAAGGAAAAGGTCCATGCTATTCAAAGGTGAGTTTTATTTTGATAAAGAAACGAACAAGAAAGCTGTAGGAAGCGTCGGTCACGTTCGGACTCTTGGCTGAATATTTCGTTTTGCATAATACGATTGTTGATTAAATATTTGAGTCAGTATAGGTGCGTTTATGCGTGTGTATGTAAACCCCTCGCAACCATTTTTCCAAGTGAAAATATTTCCGCAATCTTGCCCATACATGCCCTCCCTTGCTCAAACTTGCCCAACTAATACAAAAGAAACCCTCTATTCCCCTGAGTATTCACCTTTGATTTCCACAAAAAACATTACATTCTAAACGCACAATTTATTTCTACAAACATTCTAAACGCACAATTTATTTCGAACACGCGTGTGAGAGAACATCATCATGGCAAAGAGAAAATTTGTCGAAGAGTTGAGTGATGAAGAGTTATCAAAGGTTGTGGAGAACATCCAGTCGATAATGGTTAATGAGATGAGTGACGAGGAATTGTTGAAGGCTGTGAAACGTATCGAATCACCGCTCTTTGAGTTCGAGTCTCGGACCGTGGGGCCGCGTAAACGTTGGAAGAAAAATGTGGTGGTGAAACAACGGTTTACAGCACGCTTGAAAGAATTACGCCAACCTTCACCAGATGATAATGTTGGCGTTTCAATCACTCATGCATTAGAACGTGCGATTGCTCAGCAAATCCAAAACCAACTAGATATTCAGCCACATCACACACTTCATTTTAACATGCAGGCCGAAGGCTACACGCACGCATTTCAATCTACTACATTTTCCGTGAAAGAGTTTCAACAGAGCAGTGAACGAATGCAAACGTATTTGCAAAGTTTAGTGAATAAACTAAACTCTGGAGAAGAGTTTAACACCAACACCAATTTTGAAACCGAACTGACTTTGATCTGTACCCCGCCCGCCAGTAGTGGCAGAGGAAAAGAAAGATCCGTGGGAAGAAGAAATGTGGAAGCGTTTTTGAAAGCTAAACGTAGTGTCATAAAAATCAAGAATACAGATGAATTATGCTGTGCGCGAGCGATCGTGACAATGAAAGCACGTTTGCATAAAGGTGACAATGTGGATGGAAGACACCTGTATGAAAATCTGCGTGACGGTTATCCTGTGCAAGGTATTCAAGCCAAAGAACTCCATAGTTTGGCTGGTGTTCCCGAAGGACCGTGTGGATTACAAGAATTGGAAATGTTTCAGAAAGCTTTGAGTCCCGAGTACCAGATTGTTGTCTTAACTGTAGATAAACCGCACATGATCACTTACAAAGGACAACCTACGGCCGACAAGAAAATTCTACTCATTCAAGTCGATCAGCATTATCATGGTTGTACTTCGTATGGAGGATTTTTAAACAAATCCTATTTCTGTTTTGATTGCGAAAAAGGATTTGATCACGACGACTTGGCACGTCATCCCTGTCAAGGCCGAAAATGTACTGCCTGTCATCGAAAAGATTGTCCCGATTATGTGCGCCACAAAACACCGGAACTCACGTGTGATAAATGTCATCGTGACTTCTTCGGAACAGATTGTTATCGAGATCACAAAAAGTCATCCGACAAAGACAAGAAAACCATGTGTGACATTTTCACCAAATGTACTGAATGCTGCAAAATCATCGAACACCCCCGGAATAAGAAAAACAAAGGAGGAAAAAAACACCAATGCGGTGTCACTCAATGTCCCGTATGCCAAAAAAGACGTAGATATCAGAACCCAGAAATGTCTCATTCAACCTGCGGAAGAAGAGGAACGACCTCGACGCTGTAAAGAAGAACAAAATGCTCGCATCAAACGATTACAGCGTCAAGGCATCCCTATGTCAGCGATGGACCCTGATGAATTAAATTTCAAAGATCCACCCATCTTTGTCTATGCCGATTACGAGGCGATGCAATCAGCCGACGGTGAACATCGGCCTATTATGGTATGTTGCGAAACCGATCAGGAGAACCATACACATTTATTTTACGGCGAACGTTTCTCTAAGGACTTTCTAGAATTTCTAGATCAATTGGCTATCAATGAAGACGAATTCGAACGACCTGTCATTGTCATGTTTCACAACCTTAAAGGTTATGACGGTATGTTTATCCCACAAGAACTATACAATCAACATCGTCTGGTGGAAAATCAAGTCTGTGTCGGCATCAAAGTCCTTTCCGTCATGTCTGGCCCTATCAACTTCAAGGACTCTTTTTGTTTTCTACCCTTTTCATTAGCTTCATTTCCTAAAGCTTTTGAATTGGTAGAACTTAAAAAAAGGATTTTTTCCACATCTGTTTAACACATCCGAAAACCAATCTTATGTCGGACCGATCCCACCCAGCGACACTTACAATCCTGACGGTATGAATCATGACAAACGCCAAGAATTTCTAAATTGGCATCAAGACCAGGTGCGACGTAATGTGGAATACAGTCTACGCCAAGAAATGGAAGAGTACTGCATTTCTGACGTCAAATTATTGAAAGCGGGTTGCCAAAAATTTTGAGAAGAATTTTCTCAAGAGGCGCAATTCGATCCTATGGAACAATGTATCACGATTGCAAGTGCCTGTAATTTGTATTGGCGAAGACATCATCTGAGTGCTGATTGTATTGCTGTGGAACCAGAGGGTGGATGGCAAGGTGCTCGTAATAATCAATCGTTGAAAGCTCTGAAATGGTTGAAATGGGTGGAACATACACTTCGAGAAGAAGAACGCGACAGTGGTTTACCCGCCAGAACGGAAGATCGCGTGACACATGCAGGGAGTCGCGGGGAACACGCGATCGTGACAACCACGCGTGTGTGTTACGTGGACGGTTTCGACCCTGTGACCCAGACCGTGTACGAATTTCATGGCTGTGTATGGCATGGTTGTCCTCGCTGCCATCCCAACCACAGATTAGTTCCTAGAGTGCATCTAGACCGTTCCATGGAAGAAGTCTACGACGCGACCTGTGCCAAAACCGCTTTGTTACGCTCGATGGGTTTTACTGTGGTGGAAATGTGGGAATGTTTTTGGGATGACCTCTCCAAACACGACCCACGACTGATACAGTTTCTTCACACCTTGGAAATTGTAGAACCCCTAGATCCGCGTCATGCATTTTACGGTGGAAGGACCGGCGCTACATGTTTGTACCACAAGACCGACGAAGCCAAAGGAGAAAAAGTACATTACATCGATGTCACTTCTGAATATCCGTGGGTGAACAAATACGGAACTTATCCCGTGGGACATCCACAGATTTTAACGAGTCCTCTGATCACCGATCTATCAGATTATTATGGCATCGCCAAAGTGGATATTGTACCACCAGAAGAATTGTTCAATCCTGTCCTACCCTATCGAAGTGGAGGAAAATTGACTTTTCCGTTATGCCGTACCTGTGTGGAACAACAACAAGCGAACCGATGCTCGACCGCTAATGGACCTGTACTCACACCGATCAAGAACGCCTCATCCACGGTACGTGGTGTACACCCGAAATCAGTAAAGCAGTGCAAAAAGGGTACCGAATTGTGAAAATTCATGAAATCTGGCATTTTTCCGAAGACCAGCGCGTCGAAGGATTGTTTACTGGGTACGTGGATACATTGCTGAAAATGAAACAAGAATCAAGCGGGCGGCCATCTCATGTACGCACCCCTGAGGAATTGCAGAATTACATTAACCACTATGAAGTGCCTGAAGGTATCCAAATGGAACCAGGAAAAATTGTGAAGAACGCAGGCAAACGTTCGTTAGCCAAACTCATGTTGAACGCATTCTGGGGTAAATTTGGAGAACGGCTCAACAAACCTGCGGTGGAATCAGTCACAGCGCCTCACGAATTGTTTGAATATTTAAATAATTCGTTGATGGTCATTCATGCGATTCGCGTCTTTTCAGAAGATGTCTTAGAGGTGGTGTTTAGCTACGTGGACGAAGACGCTTCTGAAGGCAAGAAAACCAATATTTTCATCGCTGCCTTTACGACCGCTCAAGCCCGCTTGAAATTATACAGTTATCTGGATCCCTTACGAGATCAAGTCCTCTACTACGACACATATTCCGTCATCTACTCATGCAAACCCGGCCAAACCACGATTGCATTAGGCGATTATCTCGGCGATATGACCAGTGAATTGAACGAGGATGATTACATTACCGATTTCGTATTGGGCGGTGCCAAAAATTACAGATATCTCACCAAACAAGGCAAGTATTGCTGTAAAGTACGTGGATTTACTCTGAATTATCGTGGAAGTCGGTACCTGAATTACGAAGTAATGAAACAAAACGTCTTGGAGGAAATTACAGATCCTTTGGACGAAGAGCGAAGAACCGTACCCGTGACCAACCCTTATTTCTTTGTTTGGGAAACCAAAACAAAGAAAATTAAGACTGTCGAGCGTATCAAACAGTACGGTTTAGTGTTTGACAAACGCGTGATTGACAAAGACACTTTTATGCCGTATCCGTACGGATATAAAAGGTTGTAAGTGTAGTGACGTTCATTAGTAAACCATGAGAAGCCAGAGAAAGAGAAGGAGAAGGAGACTACAAAGAGGAGGTGCGGTGGTGAGTACTTTCAAAAGAATATTACGGCCGGGTCCCACCACAACAGACAAAATCGCCGAAGGTTTAAGCATGTTCCTATCGGGTCCATCTCCATCGTTCAGTGCCTTAGGTAGACTTTTAGCCAAACAAGTGTTTAAAGGTGTAAAAGACAATGTCGAACATTATCGAAAGAGAAAAAACACACGGACACGCTAGTTGTAATCAATAACAGTTTGTATTAATTAATAAACAAGTTTTGTTATTACAATTTCAATTGTTTCTTAGTTTGTATAATGTACGCGCCAGGTGTTCCATCATTGATTTCTTGCCAGGAAGATTTTTAATAGAGGCTACCATCTTATCGTCGGCTTTCCATTTATCCTCTAGACTCTTGGCCTTAGAGTAGTCAATGTCGTGCCGTCTGGCAATGCGATCCAAACGATTGATGCCCTGATCCCCTCGATCCAAGCGTTTTTTCAAAAATGTGCCTGGTTCTAAGAATTGATAACGTTTCTTTTTAGATAAAGAATAGGGATGAAATTCCACTCCTAATTTTGCAATCCAGTTTTGAATGTCAAATTTGCCTCCTCTCTGCCTTTTTTTCGGTGGAGCCTTTCTTTTGGTTCTTGTTTTCTTAGAACTCCTCATAGTCTTTTTCCAGTTGTCTTCTCAAGGGTTTTCGTAAAGCGGCCTCTTCGCCTTCTTTTAACCAATCCAATTCCGTCTTGCGTTTGACTTTGGCGGGTTGTTTACCCTTTTTTATACTTTTAAAGGAGGTTTCTAATTGCTCACGATAATCATCCATTAGAGATCGAAAGTTTGAAGGAGGAGGCCTCTTCTTCATAGATGAGGTGCCAGGTGTGGGTGAGACTCGTTTCTTTATACGCGCTGGTATTTTAGAGGTTCCAGGAGTGGGAATTTCCTTCTTGGGTGTCTTGGGGGGCGCAATTTCATCTTGCAGTTTTTCCTTCTGTTTCTTTGCCATGTGTTTGAGTAAATTTTCCACAATTCCTTCTGTCATGGCACTTTCTTCAGACTCTACATCTGCCAAATCGGCCGTGGGTACACTTGGAAAATCTCTTAATCGTTTCGTCAATCGTCTACGTTCTTGTAACAATTCTCTAGTCTGTTGATTCGCTATAGCATCAGGCACCTTTGGATTGTTTACAATAATATGCTCTTCGGCAGCGACACGACCTGCTTTGTTTAGAAAGGCACTGTCCGTAATTTGTCCTTTGTAATATTGAACGAGCCGTTGGAATTCTTCGGGCTTCACCATGGGGTATTCTTCAGCCATCTACGACGTCGCGTGGTTCTTGATAATATTTTTTCAATAACGCCTCGTACGCCTTTCTCCAGTACTCGATTTCGTGTTTACTCTCGTTGACCGAACGCATGCATTGAGCGCAGTATTGATCGTATCTATTTATGTCGCTTTTGCAATCCTCGCAGTGAATCTTATACAAGAGCGTCAGATATCTGGTGCTTTCAAAAGCAGACGAATTCTGCCAATGTTTGATTTGCGTCTCAAGAAACTTTAGGCGTTCTTGCATGTCCGTTGTCGAACGTAATCGTTCAGCGCATTCTGCACAAAGTTCCATCGTTTCACCGTCGTTTAAATCCATAGCCCTCTTACGCCAATAGTCGCCATTCTTTTCCATTTTATGACTACTCTCTTTCCATTCTTCTACCGATTCGTTAACCTCGGTTAACAAATGCGTCAGAGCACTCAAAGTCTGACAACTCATGATTGAAAACAGTTACAGTACGCTTCGTGTAGACCTTGCCAAAAGCCAGAGCCTTTCTGATTCATCAAATGAAGTCGTCCCTTTTTTATAGAATTTTTTCTCCTACCCAGTTCTTTGAGCACCTTTTTGTGTCTTCTCAATTTAGCCATGAGCGGTGGTGACACCGGAACACGATTTTTTAACATGTTTAATACCAATTCACTGACAGCATTGATTTGTTCCCCGTTGGCGTGTTGAATCAAGTCTTGACGTTTGTTTCGATTTCCCTCTCGTAGTATAGAGAGCAAGAAAGCTCTATGTCTCAAAAGTCGTTTCATGTTTCACTCACTTCTTCCCCTTCTTTGGCGTCTTTGACCATAACTTCTTCATTCCTTTTTCAAAACATAGTGACCTAAGCCAACGGCTGCCTTCTTTCCGAGCTTTTTGATTACGGCCGAAGTCACCAAAGCTTTTATAGCTGGTACAGCCGCTACCGCCGGAGCAAATCCACCTCTCTGCACAATACGTCGCCCTCCTCTTTTCTTTTTCATAGCCTGTGACCTTTGTAGGTGTTTACGCGGAGGTAAGATGAAACATCGCATACAGCCTTCATGCTTTAATAAGCGGCTCACAATGCGAAAGCTATCATGACTGGCCGGATGAAAATCGACCGTCAAATATCCAAACGGTCGCTCGGTTTCTTTTCGATAGACTTCCATCACCTGTTCCCATGTTTTAGGATACGCTTGTAATAAAATATTACGCATACTCAGTTGGTCGCGAGGATTCTTGAAAGCCACAATGTAATGCGAATTACGAGAAATCGTCTTGGCGTATTTACCAGGTGGAAACATATCTTGACAGAGATAAAGAACCGTAATGTTTCGGTGATGAGAATGTTTGGTTAACAAATCCATGACTTCTTTGTCATTACCACCTTCGGCCATTAAATCATCCAAAACCAAAATACCTCCTTTCGCTGTAAACCATTTTTGTAGATGTGATACATCGGGGACTCCTTCGTGAAATTTTATACCCGTGTGTTTCATACGATGAAATTTGTCTTGCCATGCTCCATAACAATACACTATAGCGGTAGGTGGCTGCGCAAACAAGGAGTTGTGTGTCTGAAGCTCTGCACGTTTGAGCTACCCCGCCATCACGCAAGACATTATATCAAACAAAAGCTTTATTTTTTTTCAAAAATAAGTTTACAAGTTTGATGTGAGTCTTTGCCTGAGGTCATACACCATTCTTCTTAAGAAATCTCTTTTTCTATTAGCTTTTTTAACATTTGACCTACTTTATGATCGTTGGCTACGAAAACATGTCTAGAAAACAGTTTCAAAATTTACTCATGTCTTTTCCTCTAGCTGTGTCTCAAATACATCAAGGCATAATCTCCGCAACTCTGACTGTAAAGAGACTGTAAACTCTTGGACGATCGCACGACGTATTTCCAATGTGTGTTGATCCAATCGATCAACGGCTGAGTGGTTTCATACACTTGTAACGGTAACGCATAACTATCAAAAATTTCACACACGTTTTCCGGGGTTGTCCAAAGTGCTATCCAGTGTCTTCCAGGTCGATCATGCGGATCTGTGTTTACAATGTATCCCACGGATCTGTCTTTCTGAGGATGTCTAGGTAACTTATTGCAGGGTACAGTTCCGTAAAAATGCGGTTCGAGTCTAGGATCGTTACGCGCTAAAACAAATCTAACTGCACATTATTTAAGATTATCTTTTCCATCTTCAAGCGTCACCAGGTGTGCGTCCACGTACAATGTCGTACAACACGGCTTGGTTAGAATCCACTTCTATCAGGTTTTCAAATTCAGCAAACAAAAGGACTGTGGTGTCTGCAGGTAAACCTCCGGTACCCAAGAAAATCTTGTATACGATATCACCTGATTGCTTGGGATTTACGTAGGGACAATCCACACATCCGTTGGCTACGTTGTCGATGGCAAACAGAGTACAATTACCATTTTTGACATGAGCACCTACGTAATATTGCCCCCAATCTTTGGACAAGACCATGTTAGGTTCTCCTTTGGTCATGCAGCCAGAAGCTTGTAGAAATCTGTGATATCCTGTCCAATCTTTTTGTCCGTCGTTGTAGTAGAGGTCCATAGATTCATAAGGATATTCTTCTCCTCTGATAAATTGCTTGAAACTGGTCACTCTAGATTTTTCAAAACAAAATGGATCTCGGTCGTAGGCACCATTGAAAGCCGCTGTGTTCACCAAT